AGGATTGTCAGAGCTGTGTTAAAGGGAAAAGGTTGAGGGGAGGGTGGGGCTCCTCGGACAGTGTTCCTTGTGGGGGACATGGGAGGGAGGAGTGCAAGCAGATACCCTCCTGTGGGCAGCAGGGACAGCTGGGACCTTGGTGAGCGGGAAGCGTGGAGGCAAGGGGCGGCTGGCACTGGGCAAGGTCTGGCTCGGGACTGGGTCCAGTGACGTGACTTGATTCTCCGAGCCACAGCCTCCCCACATGCAAAGCACAGGAATGCTGCATGGGCTAAACACGGGACAGGGACGGGGATGGGGACAGGCAGCTTGGCCCCAAGGACCCTGGGAGTTCCAGCCTGGGTAAGGGACTGGACCCTGGGACCCGGAACCACAAGCTGGGCCACACACCACAGCCCGAGCTCCAGGGGGCGCTGCTGAGTGATGGCTGGGGCAGGCCCCTCGCCTGTTATTTTTGGAGTGAGGAATTTTATCTGCCTCACCTGTCACTGGTGACCCATGCTGTTCTGAGCTGCCGCAGCTCTAAATTAGCTGTCACCAGACCATGGGGGTTGGGGGGTGGGACAGGGGAGCAGAAAAGAGGACACAGCGAGAGCTGTGCACATGCGTGTGTGCATGTGTGTGTGCATGTGTGCAAGCCAGGACCAGCACTGCAGGGGAAGAGCTGAAAGGGGAGGGGCAGGGCACCCTCAGGGCAGTGGGGAGTAGGGTTTCTAACCCGCTGGGGTCAAAGGCTGCTCCTCCGCACCCTAACAAATCCCTTTGTCCGTTTCTTCCCCTGGCTATGCCCGCTCTCCTAGGTGCCCCCACCCTGCCAACCACCTCCTAGGGTGAGAGTGGAGGGGCAAAGGCTGCAGGATGCTGGAGACACAGCTGATGTGCCCGAGTGGGGCTTTGCCAGGCCAAGAGAGCCGGGGCTCTGCTGTCGTTCATCATGGATTGAAGCAGAGACACGATACTAACAAAGGATAACAGCGACAGCAACACTAAATTGCGGTAATAGTGGTAACAATAGAGGCAGTACTTTAGCTAACGTTTTTAAGTATTACCTCATTTAATTGTCAGAGCAAACCTCTGAGGCAGTGTGGGAAGGTTAAGCCACATATCAGGTCACACAGCTCAGCAGCAGGGGACTCTGGGCGAACTCAGGCAGCTCTGCTTCTGCCCGTGGCACACTGACCCGCAGCACCGCACTGCTCATGGTAGAAGCCAGGGCTGGGTGGTGGAGCGGAGCCTGGTCCTAGGGACTAGGAGAGCAAGAGGAGCCCTCCATGGTTGTGCGAGCTTGGTGGTAGATGGTGGAGTGTTTCGGAGACTCCTCTTTTCCCTGTGCTTAGATTCAGGGTTGCCATGATGGGTGCTGGAACCATAGAATGGAGAGACCCAAGAGCCAGGGGAGGGAGCTGAACTTTCTGAAGTTGATGGGGGGGTACGGGAGGTTTGGAGCCGCAAAGGGGCATTGTGGGAGGGCCCTGGGGCAGCGGCCTGGCTACCATGCACTCGTGAGCTTCGTGGACCGAGAGCAGAGCAACCAGCAGGGTCGTTAGAGCCGCCACGGTGACAGATCTACAGCCGTGACCTTGGAAAAGTTCTCTGTCCTGCCTGGGCTCTGCGTTTGTACATCTGTAATGCGCAAGGGGCTGGAATCCGGAATCTGGGACGTCTTAGATATTCTGTGCTGCTTTAGATGACCTCAGCTGGGACAATAGGTATCAGAAGTAGAGAACGCTGGGGAGGGTGTTCCAGAGTGGACAGATCCTGGTCTCAAGCGGAGCTCCGGGGCAGCATGCTTGCCTAGCAGGTGTGAGGTGGTGGGTTCAACCTCAGCAGTGGTAGTGACAGGGAAGTGGGCGGGTCCTACAAGATCCAGAATCTGATTGGACAGAGAGGATGATGGACACGTAAAAATCAACCACAGCTCCGGTGTGCAGGTGAAGGGAGATTTTGTGTGTAAAGTGTGGCTTGTACGGCAGGCTGGGCAAACTTCTGCTTGCGGACCCCTCTCCAAAGGAACAGCAGCAATAAACTTGTGTGGACAAGTTCCCTGACGCTAAACATTCTTTTTCTTTCTTTCTTTCTTTCTTTCTTTCTTTCTTTCTTTCTTTCTTTCTTTCTTTCTTTCTTTCTTTCTTTCTTTCTTTCTTTCTCATTTTTTGAGACAGAGTCTTGCTATGTATTCCAGGCTGGCCTTGAACTCACTTTGTAGCCCAGGCTGGCCTCAGACTTATGGCAGTCCTCCTGCTTCAGCCTCCCAAGTGCTGGGTTTACAGACCTGTGCCACCACGCCCAACTGAGGTTAAACATTCTTAGTCAAGTTATTCTTGATTAATCAAGTCATTTTGATTGCAGTGTTTTTCTAAGGAATGTGCCATTTAATCTTTAATTTGTGGATTTGTTTATTTGGGTACCAGGAATCAAACCCAAGACCTTGCACTTGCCAGGCAGGCACTATGCCTCTGAGCTACATCCCCAGCCCCTTCACCTTTAATTTTCATGTATGAGAGAACAATGTTTAATGTTTAGGGTTTTTTTTTTTTTTTTTTCCTTACCAGAAATTGAACCCAGGGCCTTCACACTGAGCTCTATTCTCAGCTTTACCCCGCCTTTTGAGACAAAGTCTCCCTAAGCTGCTAAATTGCCTGAGCTGAACTTGTGGTCCTCCTGCCTCAGCCTTCCAGAGTGCTTGGGATGACAGGTGTGTGCACCACCACACCTGGTTTAGTGTTCACAGCCTTCCACAGGGCTTTGCCGGGAGGTGGTGAACAGCTTGCCTTAGATGGGAGGAATGGGAGGGTCTTCTAGGTTGTCTGGGCTGGAGATGTCCAGGGGTCAGTAACTTGGGAAACTGAGGTCAGAGACAGAAGCAGTGTCCTAGTAGGATGATGAGAGGAGAAGGGATGCCCAAGAAAGGTCTTGGGTGGCATCCAGGTGAAGAAAGGGTGGTGGGACTCTCGTAACGTTGAAGTCAGGGGACATGTGTGTTCTCCAGCCTTTTCTCCGTCCCCCTGCCCTCCAGCACACCCCTGCAGACACAGTGCCCTGTATCCAGCCGGCACACACCACCCCGTTTATGTCCTTTGTCACACTTATTATACTGGAACACAATTTATCTAGTGTAAGCTTCATAGGGAGAAAGGGTATTGAGTGTTTTTCCTCACTGCTATATTTCTAGTATCTAGAACAGAGTTTGGCATAAAATAGTTTGACAAATGCTTGTCAAAGCCAGATGGGGAGGCACATGCCTCTAATTTCAGCACTTGGGAGGCTGAGGCAGGAGGATCATAAGTTTGAGTCCTGCCTGGACAACTTAATGAGATCCTGTCTTGAAGTAAAAAATAAAAAGAAGAGCCACATGTGGTGCTGCATACCTACTGTCCCAGCAGTCTGAGAGGCTGAGGCAGCAAGATCACAAGTTCGAGCCCAGCCTGGGCATCTTGATGACTGAGCAACATTCTGTCTCAAAAGTAGCTCAGCGTGAAGCTCTGGGTTCAATCTCTAGTGTTATAATTCATAATAAGGTTAACAAATTAAATTAAATTAAATTAAAAGGGATGGGGACGTATGCATGAAGAACCTGAGTTCAATCCCTGATGCTGAAGAAAAAGTTTGTCTGTTGAATGAATACATGCACGCAAGGCTGAATGAAAGGGTGATATTTCAGACCCGGTGACACTTGGGTCATGGAGAAATTTTGGGGCACCATGATCTTCCTCAAATAACTTGAGCACCTGCTGCTGAGGATGCCTGGGGAGGCTCGCAATCCGCCCCCCTCCTCATAGGCACAGTTGTGCAGTCTGTCTAAGGCAGGATAAAAATACCCCACGACGGTGCTGCGGAGGCTGAGGACGGATCCGCCTGTTGTCAGGGACGGAGTTCTATTTCCCTCGTGTTCTTTTCTAAATTTTACTTTTTTCGAGTAAGAAGGTTGGGGTGCTCTGAGCAGGCTTGAGTCGCCAACAGGATTCTGGAGAGAGTGGTGGGGACACCCTTGCTCCCCATGTCTCTGCCCTTCTGCCAGCTGGGGCCTGGCCGGGATTCTGCTTGGATGCCAGTGCCTGACTTTGCGTTGGTAGCGTGTCAAAGGCAGGGGTGGCTGGAGGGCGTTTTGGTTACTGTGTGCCTTGTGTGGGATCCCCCTGACCTTAGTGGCTTAAAGGTGTTGCCGTTGAAAGGGCTCCAAAGCTGGGGCTTTCAGATTACAGGGTGGCGCCCGTCCTGCTGGGTCACTTCTGCCTGCCTGACCTCCCCTGGCACTGAGGCCGCTGCGGTGGCTTCCTTGCCCATCCGGCTCCAGCAGAGAGCCTCCCGGGTGGAGCCGTCCTGCTCCTGGTGTGATGCCACCTTCTCCCTCCTGCCCCTCCTGTATGTCCCGCCCTGACCCAAGGTCCTCGCCTGCCTGTCACCTCCCGGGGACACTAACCCTATGGCAGCGGCCGCTCAGAGATGCTGCCATGTGTCCCAACCCAGTTCTCTCTTCGTCCACCCATTCTGTCTCCTGTTACCAAGCGGCCGCCCTGTGGGCCTGGGGTCTGAGCCCAGCTGAGTAAAGAACACTTGTCAAGGTGGACCGGGCCGGCTGGGACCTGGCAGGCGGTACAGATGGCCACTGTGGTGACGGTACCTCCTAACTCAGGGCCTGAGGTAGTGGCAACAATAGCCACTCTGGTCTCTTGCCAAGATGCCATATGCAGCAGGCCATGCGTTTGCTGTGAGCTGGGCAGCTGGAGGAGGGAGACAGGCGAGGCCCCGGCTCTGCAGAGATGTGTGCCCCCTGGATGCCCCACTTCCATTCCCTAGGATGCCCCAGGTCCCATTTCACAGGTAAGGTCGCCAAGCTGGCAAGAGGTAAGGGCCTCTGCTGGACCCCAGGCCATGCTGTCCCCAGCCCTGGGCGGCCTCCTCCAAGGCCTCCCCAGATCCTTTGTTCCAAGGTCGGGGGGAGGGCTGCAAGAAGCTGCCAGCCCATGGCAAGGAGCGGACAGCAGCTCGGGGAGGCAAAGTGGCTATGAAAGGCATGAGAAATGGCATTCTTTATTCATAAATAAGAACACAACATTACCAGAAATAGTTTACAGGACCAAAAAGTGACATCAAAAATAAAATAAGATGAAGTCATCGAAAGCAATGCAAAGCAAACCCGAAACAACGGAGAGGAAAATAACTATGTACAGAGTTTTCCGAGTGTCGGTCCACCAAAGCCAGCTTTGCCACAGACAGCAGAGGGCAACCTGCCAGGCGCACAGCAGGTGTCACCAGCCAGGGCTCACGGGCTCGTAGGGAAGGGCCACAGGGAATCCCTGGCCCAAGGCTGCTCCCATGGCCCAGCCTGGCTTCCTCTTGGGCAGCTCTGTCTCTTAAGAGATGGCCCAGGCTGGGGTCAGGGACACACGGTGGCTCAGCGAATGCCTGAGCTCCGTGCCGTGGGCGCTGAGTGTGCCTGGCCGGGGGTTCACCCCCCACTCCATGAGGCGCCCGTGGGTCTGGTCTTTCTGACATCCGAGGTGAGCCCGCCTTGCAGAGGGGCTGCTGACTGATGCTGTCTTTGAGAACTGGGGCACTATCAGGCCTGGGACCTTTTTGGGGAGCAGATAGTGTGAGTCTAAAGGAGCAAGCACCCCCAGGATGCCTCCCCGAGCTCGGTCACCCCAGCCCTGCTTGGCCCCTGCTGCCAATAGCCTTCCTTCAGAGGCAAGGTCCAAGAACAGGAAGGAAGGAACCCGCAGGAGGGGAGGCCGCAGCACACTCGCATTCTGGGGACACCTTCAGCTGCCCTGGGGCCTGGGGCTGGTGGCAGCCCAGCAAGGGTATCTGCCTTGCCATCTCGGAGGGTGGCCAAGGCCTGGGCAGGTGGATGTGTCTGAGACAGGTAGGGCCACAGGGCCATGGGAAGGGAAGACTGAGCTCTGGGTGGGTGAGCCTGACCCCTGCCCTGCCCTGCCCTGCCTGCTCCTGGTGGGGGGCCCCAGCCCAAGGAGGGGCGGCCAGGTCCGTTCTCACTCTACGCGGGGCAGTCTCACTGGGAGGAAGGCCTCAGTGGAGGGGACAGGGAGGGGCCCTTGAGCCTGGAAATTCCAGGTTTCAATCCAGCCGGAGACTAAAAGCAGTGGTTTGAGATTCCAGGGGACACCTGTCACAGGAGCACAGCAAGACAGGCACCGTCTAACCCAGAGAATAAAGGTGGCGTGGGCCATGGGGAAGGCACCATGCTCAGGGCAGGGCCAGGCGCGGGTTGCAGGGGAGCAGCCCCGCTCCTGCCGGGTTCAAAGACCAGTGTGCAGAAGGAAGCCAGAACTGGAGCCTGTGCTCGGATGTCAAGTACCCAGACTCTGGCGTGCTCATCTCTCCGCCACCCTGGCCCCTCTCCGCAGGCGTGAGGAGCAGGAATCCAGCAAGGGCTGGTTGTCCTGCCAGCAGCAGCTGCAGCTATGTCAAAAATAGAATGTGGAACAGCCTGGCTGCCTGCTAGATCTGGCTTGCTTCTGGGAAGACTAGAAAGGGAAGAAGAAAGAAAAGAAAGAAAATCCTCTGAACCAAGCAGCTGAGAAAGTCTGCTGTTTGCTCTCTTGCTCTGGACATTTCAAGAGAAAGCCCAGCTTCCCATGGGCATTGGCTGTGTCCCTGGATGGCCGCTGCTCTCAGCAGGGAATCATAGTCTGGGGATCCTGTGGGGCGCAAGGTGGAGCAAGGGCAGTGGTGGCCCTGGCTGTCCATAAGGCTCGGGGGGGATGTACACACCTCCCTATGCCCAGGCACCTTGGGCACCTGTCCAGACCCGGGGACCCATCTTGACCTGTCTACTCAGTGCTAAAGAGGTCATGGGGAGAGGACACTGACTTGGGCCACAGGCGAAGAAGGAAACCCCCAGCTCACAAGCCACCCTCGGAGTAGACAGGGTCCTTCTGCAGCAGTGCAGAACTCCAACGTCTGGGAAGACCTTGCAGTGTGGCCGTGGGCCAGAGGATCCCTGCCTCTGCTCTAGGCGGGGCACTTAGGAGGCTCCCCGGGGCCAGCTGGAAGGCCAGGTCCTCCGTGTCGCTGTCCCAGCACCACACCCCAGGGCCTCTGTGTCTATGGCTTTGAAAGGAATGGTCGCCGAGGCAAATGCTACCGGCTGTTCAGGGGCTGCACAGTTCAATTAGAGGTCAGACCCCACTAATCTTCCTCAGGCACTCATGACGCAGCCCCTCTGCACCCCGGCCACTTCCCACACCTCATCCGACCCCTACGCCTTCTGGACCAGAGGAGCAGGGCTCAGGTCAGGGGGACAGACCAAGGCTTCTGGGCATGCATGGCTTTCCTCTATTCCCAAGGCATCCTAAAGTGTCCGGGGGGAAGGGGGCTTGGGGATGAGACATGGAAGGGGGCTTCCGTCCTTGGCATGGCCATTTGGCCTTCAGGGCTGGCAGCCCGTTTCATGGCGGAGGGTCTCTCCCACTGGAGCAGAGGCCAAGGCTCAGGGATCCCTTAACCGGCCCACATCCTGTGCCGGTCTTATCCTGTGCCGGTCTTCTGGAGAGCTGGGGAATCACCAAGTCCACTGCTCTGCAGAGTGGCTGAGGTGGGGTCGGGGAAGGAGGCAATGTAGTGACCCCTGCCCACCCCTGGCAGCTCCTGGGTCTGTGCCCAGGAGGCCCGCGCTGTTGTGGAGGAGAGCTGGCGGGCGAGGGGGAGGGGGGAGGCTCCTTGAGCGGCCTGGCCCCCGCCCCCTCGCCTCCAGGTCCCCAGTCCTCCCTCCCCCAGGTGGCCCCCTCAGATCTCCGTGGCTATGATGTCCTCATAGGGGATGTCAGCCCCTTCCAGGTCAATCTCAAAGGACTGCCCGGCCCCGTCCCCGCGGGTCAGCTGCTGCAGGGCCTTCTCCAGGCGCTGGTTGCGCTGGTACATGGCCAGGTAGCTCTGCTGCAGCTGCTTCTGGTACTGAATCACCTTCTCCTTCTCCTCCTTCCACACCAGCCGCTCGTGCTGGAAGCCCGAGGACATCTGGTCGTGGCCTTGCCGCTCCTCCTTCAGCTCGGCCCGCAGCCGCTCCAGCTCCCTTTGCAGGGCAGGGATGTCCTCAGAGAAGGTGGGCACAGCTCCCAGCCCAGCCCCCAGGGATGCGCTCTCCCGCTGCAGGGCAGCCTGGGCCCGCAGCTCCAGCAGCTCTTGCTCCAGGAGATTCACCTTCTCCCGCAGCAGCTCGGACTCGTTCTTCTTGCGCTGCAGCTCGTTCTCGCACACCTCCAGCTCCAGGCCCTTGGTGCGCAGGGCGCCCTCCAGGTCCTGCGTCCTCAGCTCCATGCCCTCCAGCTTGCCCCGGGTGTCCTTCAGCTGTGCCTTCAGACTGAGGATCTCGCTGGCCTTGGCGTTCACCTCGGTCTGGGACTCCTTGAGCTGCTGCTTCAGGAGAGAGATCTCGCCTGACTTCTGGCACACCTGCCGGGGTGGGGACAGAGGGACAGCCACAGGTGAGGGTCAGCCCGGGTGAAGGAGCATCTTCACGGCCTGAAAGGACCGTGCTGCACCGGACATGGCGCCCTGGCCCCCGTCCCCAAGCACGCCAGTCTGGGCACCCCAGGAAGGTCAAGCCTCGCCTTAAGGCTCATTTCTGTGTGCATCTTGGTGTCTCCGTGTGCCCGCCTTACCCCCGACTCAGGGCCCCTATCTCCTCTCTGGTGGGCTTGGGCTGTCTCACGCTGTCCTGCTGTGCCCCAGTGGCACATCTGCCAACAGCGCCCTGCTGCCACCTCCCTGCCCCTGCCCCACCGCTCCCATACCCCCTGTCCACAGGGGTCTGGCCAAGACTGAGGAGGAGCAAAGCCACTGAATCGGAGCCATGAGTCTCCGCGGTCTTGGCCACTTGGGGTCATGAGTGATTCAACAGGACACCAAGGCCAATCAGGCTGAGGCCCAAGAGTCACGGAGGACCAGGGCCTGGGTCCTGCAGCAGGGACTCCCGGAACAAGCCTGGAGGCCTCTTTCGAATTTCCTCTCCCCTCTGCTCCCAGCAAGACACCGCACAGTCTGCAGGACACTCAGCCTCACCCACTGTGCATGGCTGGCCCAACAATCTTTCCAAGGCCTGGTGCTGTCATTCAGATCTTGGATGTCACTGGAGGCCCCTGTTAAATGCCCATGTTAAAGGCCTGGTTCCCAGGTCAAAGACAGTGGGTCCTCAATGGGTACCATGGGACCTTGGCCTCCTCCTCACCCTCTCCTCTGCTTCCTGCAGGTTTGCTTTGTCACACGCTCTTGCCATGATGTGCTCCCTCATCACAGCCTTAAATCCAATGGGCCAGGTGATCATGGCCTGGGCCCTCCAGGACTGTAAGCCAATTACCCTTCTCTCTTAATACGCTGATCTTCTCAGGTATTCTGTTACAGTGACAGACAGCTGACTAACAGGAAGCCTGCATCCATTTCATGGAGGGGAGCAGCACAGTCACGAGAGAGGCATGCACTGGCTTTGAATCCTGGCTCCATCGTTTAGGATCTGGGTGATCCGGAATACATCACAACAGTGGCAACATGGTAGGGGTAGTGATTAAAAATGTGAGCTCCAGGTGCACACTGTTAGGATCAAATCTCAGCTCTGATTCATAATACATATCAGACCTCGGGCAAGTCACTTAACTACTTTGGACCTCCCTGTCCTTCCCTGTGAATTGAGGAATAGGAATAAGACCTACCTCATGGTCGCAAGAATTTGATGAACTTGGCACTTAATACATTCTCTGCAAATGATTAGGATAAACGGTTCTATAATATATTTTGTTCCATGTATTTTTTAAAAATTTATTTTATGGTTGTACCAAGACAGGTGGGGAGGAAGGCCACAGCAATGACTAAGCTCCGGATTGGACAAGAAGGACAGATGCTCTGAGATGCCCCTAAGTGGCTGAGAAACAAGAGCCTGGGTGGGGCCCGCTGTGACCACTCAGGTAGGGGAGGACAGGTACACCCCTGCGGCTCACGTCCTCTGGGACAGGTGGTCAGAATGAAGACAGCCCTCCCTTCTCACACTCCCCATAGAAAGGATGCTTTTCTTCTCCCCCCTGGAGACACCTGGCACCTCTCTTTCCAGGACAGGGACAGGAAGCTCCAGGGATATCAGGGTCGGTCACCCCACTCGGGCCTGGTGCTGGTCTAAGCAGATGGAGCGACCCTTGCCCGCCTGCAGGTAGGACTCTAGGGTGAAGGACAGCGCTGCTGTGCATACCCTTATCTGCCCTCCTGCCCCCCTGGGGGCTATGCCGGCTCTCTAGGTGGGCCAGGTCCAGATGCCTCATTCCAAAGCATGTCTGAGCATGTGCGCGTGTCTTTCCTTCCTGTCCTGTGTCCACCTCAGCGCACTAAGTAGAAACCGCACTCGCACTTTTGCAAGGGGGCCCATTCCCTCAGCGGGGTTTGCCACTAACAGAATCACTCTTAGGAGCGGGGCGGGGGGTCTCTTCCCTCATAAACAACAAACCGACCTATGCTCTCCCCGGACCTGATGGACACAGGTTGGGCTGTGCCTCTTTTGAGCCCCAGTGGGGAGATGAGGTGGAGTCTGGTCATTCACCCAGCTGGGCCTCAGTGTCTGGGTTCCGGCCCTTCAGTCAGTGGCCTGGCTGGTAAACTCAGTGCTGGGTGCTTCGAGGGTGCTGCTGGAGGCAGAAATCTCAAGAGCTAAATGCACCCATTTTAGTTTGCCTGGGAGCCCCTGGTTTGGGTCACAAAGCCTATGTGCCCAGGGAGTTTGTGCTGGCACCTTCTGAGGGGAGGGGACTGGCACCAGTGCCTGCTCAGCACAGCCTGGACCAGGGCACAGCCTTACCTCCCACTGGGTCTCTTCCAGGGCTGGCGCAAAGTTGGTCTTCTCCCGCTCATACGACCGGAGCTTGGTCTCCAGCAGGTCCTGCTCCTTCATGAGGCTCTCGAGCTCCTGCCGCAGCTGTCGCTTCTCCTGCTGCAGCTGCAGCACCTGCAGGTGCAGGACCTGCTGTGTGCGCTGGCTCTTCTGCGACGCTGCCTGCTTCAGCTTCCCGCCACCACCCTTGGGCTCAGGGCCGTCCTGCTCGTCCCTGCTGCGCCGCACCCGCTCCTCGAAGGCCTGGCTGGAGGCAAACTCCTTCTCGTCGAAGCTCCGCTGCAGCTTCTGCAGCCCTCCCTCCCTCTGCAGCAGCTTCTGCTCCAGCTCCTGGATGGTGCACTCGTCCGTGGAGATAGGGGAGCGCACGCACGAGGCGCTCTTGTCCACCTTGCCCGCGTGCGCCAGCTTGCTGCCCCCGTCAGAGAACGACAGAGCCTTCAGGCTCGTCATGTTGCTGTCCTGCAGGAGGATGCCCTGCATGATGTTGTGGGCTGAGCCCCCAAAACGGCTAGCGGGCCCCACGGGCGTGACCAGCGGGTCCAGCTGGTAGCTGCTGCTGGTGCTGTGTGTGGGCAGGCTGGACATGGAGTTGCGGCCGGAGTCAGACAGCGCCCCGGAGCACAGGCCCGGCTTCGCCTCCTGATCCTTGGGCTTGTCTGGAGGGACCGGGTGCAGCTGGTGGCTGGCACTCTCAGGGGAAGAGTGCAGGACGGCCCCCGACCGCGGCAGCACCGGCTTGAAGGCTGTGGGCCTCACTGGGCCTTTCTCTGAGCCCTGGGGAGGTAAAGAACTACAATGACCCCAACTGCCGCCCCTCCATACTTACCCCACCCCTCACACCTGTATGTGCCGGCCTTGAGTGCCAACCTGAGCCCAGAGCCCATGCTGCAGCCTTCTCGCTCAGCAGCCTTGGCATACCTTGCCCTCCCAGAGAGAGAACTCTCTGTACCCAGGAAATGTCCTTAATGGTGGCTGGGGCTCTGTGCCAGCCTGTGCCAACCTCCTGAGAAGACAAATGCTATGAGGTTCGTGGGCTGGGAGGGCTGCAGTGGGGCTCGTCCTCTGGTGCCCGTGTGGTGGGGAGGACACAGGTTGGATGAGCTCAAGTGACCTTTCTGTAGATCAGTACCTTCTTCCCCTTTACAGCCTCGTTCATCAAGCCTGGAGCCAGAAAGCTAAGCATGGCCTCCTTCCAGGAGTAGAGGATCACTGGAAATAACCATTCTTTTTTTTTTGGTTTTTCTCCGGTACCGGGAACCGAACTCACGACCTTGCGCTTGCCAGGCAGGCACTTTGCCACTGAGCTAAATCCCCAGCCCAATAACCATTCTTTTGTATGTGTGTGTGGAACTAGGAATTGAAGCAGGGCCTTCACACTGATCTACATGCCCAGCCCTTTTTATTTTCTGAGTCTTGCTTAGTTACCCTGGGTAGGCTTGAATTTGGAATCCTCCTGCCTCAGCCTCCCAATATGCTACAATTACAGGTGCACATCAACATGCCCAGCTAACTATCCTTTTTTTAAACTTATAATTTCCATTGCTAAAGTACTTTGCAATTTATAAGCCCTTTATCTGGAAGGCTGGAAGTCTGTGTCTATGGTGGTGCATGCCTGTGATCCTAGCACTTGGGAGGCCACGGCAGGTGGCTTGTGAGACTGAGCCCAGCATGGACTACAGAGCAAGACACTATCCTCCACAAAACAAAAAAAAATGTAAAAGGAAAAACAAAAGTAAAAGCTGCAAGCTCTATGCAAACACAACGGCCCTTTTCTGGTACAGGTTGAGCATTCCCAGTCCAGAAATCCCAACTCGGAAATGCCCCAAAGTCCAAAACTTTTTTGAGCTCTGACATGATGCTAGAAGTGGAAAATGTCATACTATGAAATTTTGTTTTATTGGGTGTGATGGTGCAGGCCTGTAATCCCAGCACTTGGGAACCTGAGGCAGGAGGGTCACTGTGAGTTTGAGGCCAGCCTGGCCTACAAAGTGAGCTCAAAGCCAGCCTGAACTCCATAGCAAGACCCTGTCTCAAAAAGACAAAAAAAATGTTTCTTTGTTTTGTGCACAAGCTATTAAAAATATTGTATAAAATTATGCTTGGGCTGTAAGGTGTAAAGGAAACAAATGAATATCCTGTTTAGCCCTGGATCCTAATCCCAAAATAACTCACTGTATACAGGCAGATATTCCAAAATCCAGCCAAGCAGGGTGGCACAGACAGGCTGAATACTAGGGAGGCTGAGGCAGGAGGATTGCAATTTCCAACCCAGCCTGGGCAATTTAATGAGGCCCTGTCTCAAAAATATAAAGGGCTGGAGATGTAGTAGCTCACTGGCAGTACACCTGGATTCAATCCCCAGTGCCACATAAATACGCACCCAAACCCAAAATCCAAGATAATCTGAATTCTGGGTCCAAAGCACTTCGGGTAAAGGATACTCAAGCTGTTTATCAAAGCCTGACATCCCCTGGTGGGACTCACGAGCACCTGAGCTGCCGTGAGGGCTGGATTTCTGAGCACCCCGGACTTTAGACACTTTTCCCAAACCCTTGCTGATGATAACAAAATCCCAGCCCTTATTCCACCAAAGACGTCCGGGCCTGGCTGGCCTAGCACTTGGGCAGCAAACAAGCATAATCACAAGTCTCTGTAGGCAGAGGCTGCTAATTCCCTGCACAAGCTCAGGTCGCCACTGTCCCCCTTCCCTACCCCTCCCCGCCCTTTCCTGTCCACCCTTGCCAGAGCCCCTGCTCACCATGTCCAGCTGGTTGGAGAAGGGCATGAGCTTGGGTGGTGTGGATGGGTCAAAGTCCACCCCGGCCGGGCCCCCTACGTCCCCACTAGACAGCGCTGTGTAGTCCGGGCGGTGGGAGCCCCGGGCCTTCTGGCTGACCTTGATGTAGAAGAAGTCTTCGCTCTTGCCCATTTTGGAGCTGGACTTGCCATGACCAGAGTCCTGGGAGAAGCCAAACCTCAGCAGCCCGTCCGAGTAGCGGTTGAGCTTCTTGAGGTGGGAGGACTTGCGCAGCTTGTACTGTGAGGCCCGGCAGTGCTTGCTGTGGAAGCCATGGCCGGAGATGAGGCTGCTGACACTGCCCATGGTGAGAATGATGCAGAGACCGAGACGCGAGGGCCTGGGGTGGCTGTGGCAGTGAGGGGCAGACCTGACTTTGCAAGGGGCCTGCAGTCATAGCAAAACCCTCACGGAGCATGGACAGCCATAGACCTGCAAGGAGACAGAGGACAGAAGTCAGCTTGGGCAGAGCCAGGTTCTGCACAGCCCACACGGTGACTTCTGTAGTGCTCTTCTGCCTGCTGGGCCTGGAATTGCATCAGGAACCAGCTCTGTCACTGTAATCCAGGCCCCCATTCTCCACCACCAAGGGCATGCTCAGGACCAGGTGCCATTCCATGCCCTGGGTGTCTGAGACCTGCATTCACAGGGCCACCCACACATCACCGCAGCCTGTACCAGACCATACAGAGCAAGGTGGGTAGGAGACAATGCTTCCAGGTGCTTATTTGGTCCAGGGAGTGCTGTGCTTTGGGTGTGTCTCTGGAATTTAATTTCCAAAGTCATTAATATTAATGGTATTTAGAGGGGAAGCATTAGAAGTTAGTTAGGATTCGATGAGGTCCTGAGAGAGGTGGGGGCTTTATAAGGAAAGGAAGATCACCAAGGGATGCCCCACACCACCTCAGGACCTCACCAGATGTGGCTGCCCAATTGTAAAAGTCCCAGCCTTCAGAATCGTGAGCCCAACAAACCTGTATTATTTATGAATTACACAGCCTGGGGTATTCTGTTACAGCAACAGAAAACAGACTCAGGAGTGTTAGGGTGGCTTTTGGAGAGATCTCAAAAAAAAAGAGAGAGAGAGGCAAGCCATGTGGGAATCTAGCAGACAGAGCTCACCAGGAGAAACTCAAGCCCCCAAACTCTGAGTCCCTGAGGTGCAGCGTGTTTGGCTAGGTGACACCAGCCCGGGGACCAGAGGGGCCAGAGAAGAAACTGTCAGGAAGGCAGCATGGGTCAGGGTGGCTGCAAAGGCTTTGGCGCAACTCTGGCTGAGAGGAGGAGTCCTAGAGGGTTCTAATCGGCTGACAATTTCACTGAACATGGTGGGGGGACACTGGGCAGTTTTCTCCAGCTGCAGGGTGAGGGAGAGACTGCTGAAGGGCTGGGGCAGAACTGGTGGCCCAATTAAGTGAGTAACTAAGACACCACCTTGCGTGGCAAGGGTGATAGCTGTGGATTAAGTTTTAAACGTAATTTTAAGGTTGAGCTGTAGGATTTGCTAAAGGACTAGATGTAAGGCATGGAAGAAAGAAGTTAAGCATGTCCCTAACAATAGAAAGACATCATTCACTGAGATATGGACGACTACGAGTGGGATTGGTGTAGGGCGAGGTGGGATGGGGAAGAGGGGTTGGGTTTGACTTAAGACGTCAAGTTGGCAAAGCCTGATGGGTGTCCAAGGAGTGATGGGGAGTAGGCAGTAGGGAGTGGGGGAGGCGCTAGAGCTGCAGATCATGTAAAGCATGCCAGTCTGCAGAAGCCAGCTGGGAGACTCATCGCTGTCACTACAGAACAAGCGCAGGAAGACAAGAGAAACCGGAGGACCAGCCATGGAGCAACACCAAGAGGTCAGAAAGGTGAGAGAGGACCGAAGAGGAGGAGCTCAGATGGCCCTGACAGTGGGGTGGAGAGTGAAGGAAGGAGGAACAGAGGGTTTTCATCAGGACGGTGTTCGTTGCTGTTTAAGACGGCAACTGATTGTTGATCAACGGATGTGGCCACATGGAGGTCCCTGGCGACCTTGGCAAGATGTGTTTTGGTGGAGTGGTGAGAAGAAAGTCTGTACTGGAGCGGGTTCCGGAGAGAAAGGAGGAGGAAGGACTGCGGCCACCACTGCTGAGAAGCACGTGACGGGCTGGGCTGGATTCCCATTCCACCACTGCCTGCTGTGACGTGCGAGGTGAAGATACCTGACATCTTTCACCTCCAGTTTTGCAAACTAATTCTAAGATGCACTCAACAATTTTTAGACAATAGAGTCTCCTCCTGTGGTCAGTGCTTAGAGTGCTAACAATCACCTCGTCCATCCCAGAGAGGAGTTAAGTCGGGATGTTCACTCCACGCACGTGTGGCTGGGGTTTAGGAGCACCTCTGTGCAATGCTAGGTTCCCAAAGCTAGGAAGGTGGGTGTGTCAGGCAGAAGAGGGCAAAATTTCCCAGTCACTCAACCGGTGGCCCAGAGAAAGGGAAAAGAACTACCAGTTAAAAATTAAAAGGAGGTGTGGAAGGAACCTGTGCTATCTGGGTTTTTTTTGTTTTGTTTGTTTGTTTTTCTTCCAGTACCAGGAATCAAACTCCTGACCTTGCGCTTGCCAGGCAGGCGCTGTGCCGCTGAGCTAAATCCCCAGCCCCACTCTCTGTTCTCTAAGTTATCCTGTTGTCCTTTAGAGGGCCAAAGAAGCCCCCAGTGGGTCCTGGAGAGGGACATCACAGCAAGCTTGAAAGAGAGCCAGAGCCTCTTAGACTGTCACCATCCTGACCCAAACTTGCTCGGTTACGCTGAAGAGTAAAGAAACTGCGTTATGAGGAAGTGCGATATCCATTCCATTTGTACAAGTATGATACAAACCAAACTTGGTCATGTAAGTTTAATTATGTTTTTGAGTGTGTGAAAAGCATTAATGAAATTAAGGTCCTCTTGGACTCAAGGAAACACAGCAAAGCCTACCCCCTAGAATCACTAGGTGAAACGTGTGAAATACCACACCAAGGTGAGGGCTCCGCTATGCTTAATCAGGTGCATAACAGACAGCAAGCACTCAGGAAGTGGCGGATATTTCCATTGGTGCCTAGTTTTTCTATTCTTTTTTTTTTTTTTCATGGTACTAGGGATAGAACCAAAGGCCTTCACATGGAGCTATACACCCAACCTTTTTTATTTTGAGACAGGGTCTTGCTAAGTCACCATGTGGTCCAGGCTAGACTCAAACTTGTTTCTTCCTGGCTCCGCCTCCCAGAGTGCTGGGAGTATAGGCGTGTGTCCCCTCGCCCAGTGGGTGTCCCTACCACCCTTCCTCATCCCCATGTGATCTTCAATCCCACAGCGTATTTTCCTGTGCGGGTCCTCTGTGCAAAGCAGCTCTGCAGGGCTGTATTCCTGCACTGCCCTTCCTAGAACACGGCTCCTCTGCCAGCCTCAGAGTGGGCACAGAAAACACACTCTTCGTCCACCCAGGTCACTGATCACTAACTCACTGAGGTCCTAGAAGGGAAGTTCCATGCAGGGAAGCAGCTTTTGGCCAAAAGCCTCTCCTGGACTGACTCCTCACTGTACCTCCGGGGCCCCCCACTTGTGAGCACTACACATACACAGGCTGGGCCACTGGCTATGCAGCCAGCCAGATTTCAGTGTAAAAATCAATCTCCCTGGGGTTTCTTCCTTGCAAAACGGAAACATTCATGCTTCCATGGGACCAGTAAGGAGATGAAACACACGAACAGAAATAAAGCGGGATGCTCAGGCAGGCTTCATCCTCTACGATGTGCATGACAAACATAAGGGCAGACACAAGCGGCCCCTTCATGGGGCCCATGACATAGATGGGGTGTACCTGCGATGTCAGGCAGTCACGTCATTATAGCTTGATCAGGGATGCTGCCCAAAACTCATGTGCTGAAGGCCTGGTCCCAAATGGACCGCACTGTTGGGAGGCGCTGGAAACTTTAGGCACTGGAGCCTAGCTGGAGAAGTGGGTCGCCGGGGAGGGCACGGCTTTGAAGGGCATAACGTGCCCCAGCTCACATGCTCCTGCTCTTTCTGTCTCTGCTTCTCGGCCCTCATGAGCTGAGGTGCTTTGCTCTGCCACCACGGACTGTCTTACGGTAGCCCCCAAACCCTCCAAGCCAGGCGACTGTGGGTGGATGGCGGGCCATCAGTCTTTGCTCCTTCACACTGACTTTCTCAGGTGTTTTGTGGCAGCGATGGAAAGCTAACACACACGCTAAAGGAATCTGTTTGTGGGTCTGTGGCTTCACCGCCATCTCTTCTCACGTGACCACAGGAGCCTTTCCCCGCCTGTTCATCACACTCATCCAAGTGTCCCGGCCGTGGCACCTCAAAGAAAAGCCTTAGGTCTCTCACAGCTGTCAGCATAAAACAGACTCCACCCCACGCCCTGCGAGCCCCAAGCAAGCAGGGCTTGGTCCCTGGGTCTTACTCACTGCTGTCCCGGTCTTCCTCGCTTGGTCTACACTGCTGGCACACGTGCTGATACACAAAGCGCTTCCCCATCCACCTAGAGCGTTCACACCTGCTGCTGCCCTGCCTCTCCCCTTGCCTCTTTCTCCTCCTTCCTTCTCTCCTCCAGCCTCACCTCCCTAGGTAAGGTGGCTTTCCCTGGATACTGCAGAAAAGCCCAAGCTCCTCCACTACTTCCTATTACACCAACCTATGTATTTCCTACAAACTACTTGCCTGAACCTGTCATGCTTATTTTTAAAGGGGATTGTTCATTGTGTATATCTCCACCAGAATATGAGCTTGGTGATGGCAAAGACTTTGCATCAATAGCTCCTAAAACAAAAATAAGTAAGACCAGACACCAACTCAGAGAGGTTCAATGCCAAGGCCCCACTCAACTGACCAGCGACCAACGAGGGATCTGAACCCAGACCCAAATGCTATCCTCTGCATGCTCCAGTACGCTGCTGGGGATGACTGGCTTGGAGATGTTTGGGTTCCTGTCCCAAGAAAGTAAAGTGAGTCTCCAGGGTCGGGGGAGAGAAAGTGTAGAGGAGAAATCAAAGTCTGCTGCCCTCAGCCCTCATTTCCTTCGTGGACAAGTGCCAGTGAGGTTTCGGGTCACCACAAGCTCTGCCGTTCTCCTGAGCAGCAGTGTGGGGCACTTAGTGTGCACAAGGTCTTGCTGGGAGCTCAGGGGTTGGGAGAGAGATGACGAAGGGTGTTGAGAGTAAAGGAGAAGAGAGAGGAGACAAGTGGCCCAAGGACGGCCACCTCTGGTCTCCAGGAGAGCATTCCTGTCTCTTACCCCCAGATACCTGCAAGCCACCCCCCAAGTCTTAACACTCAGAGCTGCTATGTGGTTACTCTGGGATTCCCTGAAGCTAAGCTAAACACCTTTAAGTGTCTAGACTTGTTCACGGTGAACTTGGAGAAAGCGTTGAAGAAAGCTTGGCTGCGACCCAGC